TGGCTCCAGGCTTTGACAGCTCCGTTTATGACGACCTCTGCGAGTCAGCTGGGCTGGCCAGGCCCATGGAGAGGAAAGCCTGCAAGAACAAGGCCTGCGGGCCCCAGTGGGAGCTCTCTGAGTGGTCTGAGGTAGGCAGCGGGGAAGCTTTGCTCCCCAGAGGTATGCAGCTGGGGCTGGGCTGGGGCCTGGAGGAAGGTGGCTGTCAGATGTTGGGTGTTGAGGAAGCCCCTGGCCAACTGCATCCTGGAGAAGCAAGGACTTGGATTACCCACCACTCCCCTGTTCTGGCACTGCCTGGCAAACAAAGGCCATTGCAAAAAATTTTTTCTAAGGTCACTTTCCAAGCAGGTCATTGACAAAATGAAAGCCCTGCCAGCAAGAGGCTTTGCCTCCCACTTCCAGAGTATCTAAATGATTCTATGATTCTATCCAACTAAGGGTGAACCAGTAGCATGGAGATACAGAGAAGCTAAAACCCCGTCAAAATGTCTTTGACTTTACAGAGCCTGCTTGGGACTGGGCCAGTGGCCCAGTGACTTTGAACAGCAGTCCAGGCATCCACATCTTGGAGCATTGGAGCTCTAGGACCTAAAGTAAATAAGCAGCAGAGATAGAGACAGACCCACCTTTTTCTGTCCCTGCTGGTGCCCTGCCCCACCCACCTAGTACTGCAGGGGGACAACAGGAGGAGGCGTAGCTGCCTCCCTCATCTTTGCTTGTCCTCCTGGTTCTCTGCTTCTGAGACCCGGGGGTGACTCTCTATGGCCATTGCAGTGTTCAGCCCAGTGTGGCATGCAGGGGACGATGAAGCGGGAGGTACGCTGCTCAGTGGAAGCGCCCTTCTGCGATGAGTCCCAGAAGCCCAGCAGCGAGAAGGTGTGCACAGGCCCGCCCTGTGACCGCCGCTGGACCGCTTCGGACTGGGGCCCGGTGAGTCTGGAGGGGCTGCTGCTCCTTGCACCCAGTGCCGGTGGTGCAGGGTTGGCGGGAGGGAGCAGGTAGGCAGTCATGCTGCTGCTTTCTTTCAGCTTTCTCTGGCAGAGGCTCAGCTAAACAAACAGAATAATCTGTATTTTTGCCTCTCCGTGCTGTAAATTATGATTAGCTGTGAGGTGAGCTCCATTCCATCTGGGAAGCTCACGGCACCTGGAGAATGGAAGCCCCTGACCAGGTGTACCTCTAAAGACCCTTGGGATCCAGTGCCCCAGATCCAGTGGCAGGGATAGGCTCAGGACTCGGGTGTCCTGCACCACCAGCCCTGACCCCTTCACTTTTCTGCTTTCTGATGTGTCTAAATGCCCTTTATTCCTCCAAGTGCTCAGGTTCATGTGGCAAGGGACGCATGAGCCGCTTCATCACATGTCGCAACCTGGAGGGCAAGGTGATCTCCAACTCACAGTGTGACCCAATCACCAAGCCCCTGGCCATCCATCCCTGCGGAGACAAGAACTGCCCTGCACACTGGGTGGAGCAGGAGTGGGAGCAGGTAAAGTCAAGCCCAGCCCTGTGTTCTCAGCCCTCCTTCCCACCCCTTATCCCACAGGAGATGGTGGGAGCCTGGCTGCCTTGGTAGAGCAAGGTATGGTGTGACCTCCAGCCATGGAGCTGCACCCTTTTCCTAGCTCCTTTTATAAAGAAGGAAGGAGTAATGCATAACCCAGCTTGTCCCCGCTATACCCTATAGACCACCCCAAAGTTTGTGGCATTTGCTGTCTTCCCATGGACCTCCATTGGAGGGCAGCAACGTCCTAAGGAAATCCTCCTCCTCTCCCACCTCAGACTCCCAGCTGACAGTTAGAGACAGCACAGCACTTTGTCCAGAAGATGCACTTGCCCCCCCAAGATTTGAGTCCCACCACTAAAGAAAAAGCCTCAACAAACCCAGCTTCATCTATGATAAATGATAGCTGGAGGTAAACCTGAACCACAGCCCAGATCCCTGCCCTGGAGGTCACATCCAGACCACAACTGTGTACTTGCCTTAGGACTTAAGAGTCCAGTGAACCCATATGGTCCAGGTGCCCTGTTTTACCAAACAATTGCCAATCTACTTCCCTTCTGTTGCTCAAGGCCTAGAGGCTTTAGGATTCCTAATACAAGCTGATCCAAATACCAGAAGGACACATGGAGTCAGCTGCGGGGTTTGGGCTTTGCCTTTTAAGTCTTGAGCAAAACAGGGATTCACAAAGCACTAAGGAAGAGGGTTTCTAGAGAACCAGAGAAGCAGCCAAGTCCTCTCCTCTTCAACCACAGCTAAACTTCTCTTTTCCTTTTGCTACCTTTTATAGCTGTTGACTATATTCAGCTGAGTCTCCTTCCAGCACTGGTAACGAGCACAATCTGGTTAAACCTGGGGACCTACAGCAGTCCCGTAACCCTCTCCTGCTCTGGCCTATGGTATGGGACACATGCAGTATGCCAGTGCAGTTTTCAAACTGCATCCAGGATATTAAACTCAACTGAACTCTGAAAGACCAGCTGAGTTCCCCACCTTTGGGTGGGCCAGCTTCTTTGCCTTGCTGAGTTCTCTCTGCTGATCAGCTCTGAGCTTACATGATGACCAAGGGTGGATGCAAGCCTGCTGAGCTGGCCCTGCCATGAAGAAGGGGACAAAGCAGTGAAATCTCCCACTGGCAGCTGTCTCAGGAGGCAGAGCTGAGCTAGAATCGGATCCTGCCTCCTGCTGCTTCTCTTGGTGGTGTCCTCAGAGATCAAGTCCTCCCAGCTAAGCCTGCATAGTTCTGGGCTCAGCAGTACTTGGCCAGGCAAATTACCTGCAGTGCACCAGTTTGGTCCCCTTGGTCCCATGCAAAGCTTGTCAGTACTCAAAATTTAGGTTGCTACATGGTTTTTGAGACCATAGCTACACATAAGACAGAATCTTGTAGTCCTACTTTGGCTGCTCTGGGTCCCTTGTGGTAGCTGCTTTCAAGGCCAGCCAAGGTGAATTCAGCATCCCCAGTGCTGGCTAAACACAAATCACCAGCTTCTGTCCCCACTCCCTAAGAAATTCAACTCCTCTGCAGATACCGTTGCTCCTGTGACCTGGGCAGCACTACCCTTATTAGACTGGTGTTAGCACAGACATTAAGCACCTTGCCTCTGAGCAGGATGCCATCTTGAAGCTCTGCAGCTGACTAGCATCATTTGTTACCTGGCTGTCACATTCTCTTTCCCAGTGCGATGCCAGCTGCGGGCGAGGGATGAAGACTCGGGTCGTGTTGTGTGCGGGCCTGGAGAATGGTGTATACAGGGAGTACCCTGAGAAGCGCTGTCAAGCCTCTCAGAAACCTGAGGAACAAGCTGCCTGTTTCAGGAGGCCATGTTCAACATGGTTCACTACCTCCTGGTCTCAGGTAGGGCTTGGGATGGTAGGGAAGGGGGAGAGGAGGCTTGATAACCCTGGTTGGTGGGGCATGACCTGCACTGAGGCTTTCTAGCAGCCTGTTCTGCTGAGGGCTTTTAGGTCTGGACTGGACCATTAGCTCTGCTCTTCTGCAGACCAAGCAGCAGGTGGAGGGACTGGCCCACACAAGCTGGAAAAATCCTTACAGCACGTGGATTACTGCCTCGAGTAAGAGCATGTACCACGATGCAGGCATACAGGATACAGCTGTGTCTCCTCCTCTGCCATGAGTCAGTGTTCTATCTTTCCCTGTTTTCCCTTGATTTTAACTTCACAGAATCATGGAATCGCAGAACTTACGAGTGTTTAGGGAATGGGTGGACAGGGGAAGCTGGGTCTGGCTTACAGCGGCCATGTTCTCCATCTTTTGTCACAGCATCAATACTCAAAACCAATTCCAAGTTGCTTTAAAGAGGTGAAGGCAAACTCCTCCCCTGCTCTGCCCCAGCCCTGGCTCAGGGAGGCTCTCCTCCAGCAACATAAAGGGAGCATAAGTGTAGGATTTGACCCAAACCTTCTCAAGAATAGTCTCTGAAGTAGGGATGGGGAGGCTTCACTGGAAGAAAGAACTTGGGAACTACAGAAGAATTAAAAAAAATGCCTCTCACATCCCTTTTCTCTTTTCTTGATCCCAACAGTGCAGCAAGACATGCGGTGCTGGTGTGCGACTGCGGGAGGTGAAGTGTTACCAGGGGGAAGCGCTGGCTCAGGGCTGTGACCCCACTTCCAAACCAGAAGCCAGGCAGACATGCCAACTCCAGCCATGCCCCACAGAGGCACCAGGTAAGACTGGGAGGGCAGGGAGGGAGAGGAGCCCTTGGGAGCCCTTTGCTCCGTCCAGGGAAGCACGTCTCCTTTTTAACTCCTTCTGCGGATGCTTCTGTTCCCCAGAAGATGACTGTGAAGACAAAGCGACAGCCAACTGTGTGCTGGTGCTGAAGGTGAAGCTGTGCTCTCACTGGTACTACAGGAAGGCTTGCTGCTGGTCGTGTCGGCATAAGTCACCCTGACTGCTGCCAGGCCGTACTCTCCTTCCAAGTTCAGGGGCAAGAGCCCCCATGAGCCAGACTTTACCACTTGAAGCTACCCCACTTGGCTTGGCTGTGGAGCCAGTCCCAGTAGACCAGGCTGCTCAGCGAGGAAGGATTCCTAGGACTTAGTCATCCCTCTCCACCAAGAGGATTTTACACAAGACAAACCATCAGTTCCTAGAAAGCTACTGAGAAGTGAGTTGGGAAAGCCTGTCCCTGCCATCATCCTCCTGAAGAGCTCTCGTTGGAGGCGGTAGGACACAGAGGCCAGACTGCAGCAGGGCACAGGCAACAGCAGGCATCTTTCTGGTCTGCCCTGCAGATTCTTCTTCTGCTATAAGGGCAATTTTCCAAAATACACCGAAAAATTCTGTGTCACAATAAAGAGCTGAACTATAAAACTGTGGGTTTGGGATGCATGTACATAGGCCAGAGGCAAGCGGGTAAGGGGGACACAAGAGGAGCAAAAGCAAGAGCAGGAAGGGTGGGGAGGAAAAATCCTTGTACCAGTACAGCTTCCAGGCAGCACTGGATGAACCCCATTTTGTGTTGCCTGCCAAAGAACAAAAACCACTCCTGTTTTGTATTTCAAAGTCCTTATTTATTTCTGACATTGAATTTGGACCCATAGGTGAGCAATGAAGACAGAGAATAACAACAGGAGGAATCTGAAGTGGAAAAAAATCTGGGATCCCTGCCCCTACCCTGTCCTGTTCTTCCACCATCCTCAAAACCTAACCCACAGTTGCATCTCCTGTGTTTCCAGCCCTTTTAGACTTGCCCATTTCTCTGTAGCCGTGCCAGACACAGGCGTTGTGTTGGCCATGAGGAAAACCCTCGTCCTGGCCTTCCAGCTACTCTAGAACTGCCTCCCAGCCTTGGCACCTTGTTAGCAGGTGACAGGTCACGCTTAATTTGTGTGTGACGAAGATGACTATGTGGGTGCTTCCAGCATAAGGGTGACGCGCCAAAGCCCAAGCCCCCAGCATTATTTCCACCCTTTGGAAGTCATGGCCCAGCCCGTGCTGCCGATGGGGTGGGAAGCCTTGCTGTGTGCCAAGAGGTAGAATTGGGTGCCGGGAGCCACTGGGCTGGCAGGCTCGCTCTGCGCGCTTCGTGGGGCGGCACTGCAGGGCCCTCTGGCAGACCTGGGCCGTGACTGCCCGCATGTCGTGCTGCTGGGACGTACTGCCTTCTGGCTCCCAGCAGGATGGAGATGTAGCTGAGCATAGTGGGAAAAGATGGGATTTACTGACATAGCCAAGACTTTTTTCCAGTTACAGACTGTATTTTCAGGGAGGAGTACTGGCTGGATGGGATGAAGTAGGAGCTACAGACTACCATCCAGCAGAATCCAGAGAGCTCTGCTGCTAACTTCTGTCTTCCCTCCTGCCTGCCCTTAATGTGAGAGGACATTTAAAACCCACTATCACTATTTGGAGAATGGAAGGAGACTCTAAAAGATGTAGCTCGGCTGAGTTTCAGGATAATGGAAATACAATGTTTTCCTGGGCTGGAGGTGGGGGAGATGGTGCGTAATGTTTGCTCAAAAGGCTGTGTAAAACGCAGGCTGGGGCAAGGTGTTTGGTTACAAGGACTGTCACCCCATTTGGGGTTCATCTGGCTTCTCTCCTTTGGGTGGTTTGAGCAGAGGTGCCAAGGCATGAGCAGGTCCAAAGTGTAAATGATCCATTTGCCAGATAACGTAGACATTTGAGGCTCATGTAGCATTTGCCTCTGTGCTGAGACCTACTTTTTCTGAGCATGAACAGGGAGGTTCAGTCCAAATCCTTCTGTGAGCAGCCAGATGATTTCTAAACTGTGGTGGTGAAAAAAAAACCCCACCACTCACATTTCTGAGCAGTTGTACCCTATATTGCAAAGGCACAGCAAATTTCCTGCCATCGCCTCCAGCAGCATCCGCATGGCCGCGGGGATCCTTGCTGTCTGGGTCCCTCCTCCCTGCCATGAATGGGAACCGCTCTGCCGAGCGGCCCTGCACTGGTTGCTATGGAAGTGCCTGTGAGTGATGGAAATGTCCTTTTAGTCATTTTTCACCTAATTTGATTTATTGAGGAAGAAGGAACTTTCCCACATTCATTTTTGCAGAAAGGTGGAGTCACTGGCTGGCATTATTAGCCGCACATCCGGTGAATCCAGGTTTGGGTCTTGCACCCTCTTCCAAAAGCAAAAGAGGGGGGACTCTGATCACCTGAACATCACTCTCTCATGGGAGGTCGTGGGCAAAGGAGGAGACATGACCTGGTTGCTGTCCTAAGCAAAAAAAGACGTGACCTGGTTGCTGTCCTATTGCTGTCAAAAGCAAAAGCTGTCCTAAAGCCAACCTTCCTCTGGCTCTCCGGAATGTCAGGGTGGGCTGGGCAGGGCTTTGAATGCTGAAGGTGAACAAAACTGTAGTTATTTAGGGATGCGGCTCTTCCTGTAAGTAAAATCTTGACGTTTTTATGGGTCCAAGTTAAAATCCTCTTAAGAAAGCTTGTGGAGAGTAGAAGAGGTGGGGGCTTTACCCACAGAAGGCTCAGCCTGTGCCCATTCGGCGTAGGTGAGCGGTTTTATGAGCAACTTTGCCTCCCCTGGCGGTGATCTAAATTCAAGTCTTGAACTTCTTCAGCACATACTGAGACCGAAGCGGGTGGGAGACGGTGTCCTATCTTACACTTGAACATAAAAGCTAACTGCTAGTGGCAACTAACACAGTATGAGGGGAGCAGGACGGTCCAGAGCTTCCCTCCTTCGCTCTCCCATTGCTGAGCAGCGCTGTCGTTCCCAGCCCAGCGGCAGGTTGTGCTGGGGGCAGCAGCGGGTGGGTGGTCACGTGTCACTCCGTGTGCCAAAGGCAGCGGGAATCCCCTTGGGTGGCTGCATGGGGACACCGAAGGCCTCGCTCAGGGAGTCGGGGGAGCCTGGGGTAATTAAATTAGGTTGTACTGTACATAGCCCTCGTTAGAGAAGTCCCTTCAGGAGATAGAGTAGAACAATAATGACACTTATGATGGGTTCGGAGGTGGCCGGTTTAACGTCACCCGTTGAGGTCTCTCTCCTCTTCTCGCCTGTGAAGCTTAGTTGTGCCGGGCGGTTCAGCAGGAGGATGGTGCTGGTCTCGGGCTGGGCTTATGGGGTCCTCTCTGCGGGACCCCCCCCAAGACAAACAAAAAGCCTCTTCCCCCGAGCGGGCACCGGCTGGGGGCACCCTGTGCTAGCGGCAATGGTGACTACACCTCCGTGCTGATAGCCCGCGGGTTCGGGAAGCTCTCGCGGAGGAGGCCGTGGCGGCTCACCGGGTAGCTTTGCAGGGCGGCCATGTTGATGGGCGGCCCCATCTCCTTGTAGCATGTGGGGGTGTAGGTGACCCTCTCACCCCCATTGCGTACCATGTCAGCAGTCCGGATGTAAAAGGGGGAGCCGTAGGGGGAGCAGGTCGGGCAGTAGTTGTGAGCCCCATGCTGGTTGAGCTCGCTGCAGGGGGACGTGGGGCTGCCCTGGCCATCCACCATGCGGGAGTTACAGGCGTTGCACGTGCCAAGGTGCGAGTGCGTGGGCAGGTTGGGCTCTTCCTCTTCCTCCTCCTCCTCCTCCTCTTCCTCATCAGAGTCATCTTTCTTGCAGCAATAGTACTGCACAGAAGGGAAGGGGTTGTATTAGGGGGAGAGGAGCAGCCAGCGGGCAGAGTCAGCTTCACAGCCAGCCGTGCAACCTCCCCGCACCCCTCATCCCCCCACCACAGGAGCCCTCCACCAGCCCCTTGCTGCTCTGCTCCATTGATACCCGGGTCCTGCAAAGCAGCCGAAGCCCAACAAAACCCGGACCTGAGTGTGGTGCAGGAGGCAGCTGCCAGGGAACTCATCCTCTCCCCTCCCAGAGACGTTTGCAAGGGGAATGTATTTTACCATGCCAGGTGGAAACTCCTCCAAGTAACTGCTGTGCTTTTCATCACAGGGGCACTGCTGCATGGCACAGGCTTCACATTAACTTTTAAAGAGCAGGAGGCTGTAGCTAGCTGTTGTTGAAAGCCTCCTTGTTTAATTTACAGGGGAAAAAAACAAATATAAAAACCTCCATCTGGTATTGCAAACCCAGCCAAGCCTACACCTAAATTAGCAAGCGCTGCAGATCCTCAAAAGCCTTAGGGGAGGTCCCCTGCACCGGGAGGAGGAAAAGACTCTGAGGCACCTGGGAAAAAAAAGTGTTTCCACTCCCTGCCCATCCCATGCAAAAAAAAACCCCTTTGAGACCCTTCCTGCAGTTCAGCTCGAGGAGCAGCAACGCTGCTGGGGTTCATGGCAAGATAGGAGGTGGCCACGGTGCTCACCTGTAGCCTACAGTAGCAGAGCACGGCGATGATGCACAGTAGGATCACTGTCGCTAGGATTCCCCCAGTGATAACAACAGTTCCCGCTGTCATCCGACCGATTCTCCATCAAACTCTGAAAGGCAGGGCCACAGGGACACGTCACCCCAGGACATGAAGGTCACCTACTGTGGTTTCATCACATCACAGATGTGGCACCCATGAGGCATCCCAAAATACCACATCCCTGTTCCTCCCTCCCCAGCCAGAAAACTATCACCCAATATCATACTTCTCATCTTAGTGAGAGGACACCTGAGGTGTGGCATCATGTCCCCTTGCTGCCATCACTGCCTCTGGCTTGGGTTTTCTGGGAAACACCCCGCGGTCCACCCGCAGAGCCTCCCCCCTTGCTGAGCCAAAAGGGCTGATTTCCACCCTCCCAGCAGAAAACAGAGCTTCTGCTTCAAAACACAGAGCAAACTTGGGGTTCCACTGGGAAAAGCCAAAGGGGAGCCTTTAAACTCCAGATCTCTGGCAGTCTGAGCCCCCAAACCACACCCCAGCTGCCTGCCAGGCACTGGTGGGTCTAACATGAGCCATGCAGCCCCCACTGCCATCCCCATGCTGTGGGACCCAGTGGCTACTTACGTTCAGTGACGGAGGCGTTGGACCTGGAAGAAGTAGGGGGAGAGGTGAGCTGTGGGCTGGTGGCACCCCTTGCATCCGCTCGCGTTTCCCTGCTTCCCAAGAACTTGCCTCAGTTTGGGAGCTGTGGGAGGCCCTGCTTCGCCTCCTGCATCCCACAGGGATGGGGCTCAGCGTGTGCCTGCACCCCTGGGAGCTTCCGTGGTGCAAAAAGCATTCTGGGTCCTGCAGATGATGATGATCATGATGATGGTAATTATTAATTATTATTATTGTAATTATGATTATTTTCTTTAATTTGAAGCAGGGAAAGGAGGCTTTCCCAAGCTTGGAGAAACACTCTGCAGGAAAAGGATGTGCTATCAGCAGCTCATGAATCACACAGCTTCGCAGGGCAAAGGCCTGGCTTAGTCAGCGCTTGCCCTTTTCCTCTTTAATTATGGAAGAGGCAGATGCATCATCTCACAAGTGGACAATGTATTAAGTGTTGCTGGGAAAGGGGCTCTCCCCTCCATCGCCTCTAGGGCAGGCAAGTCCCAGCATCCTCCTGTTACCCCCCAGTCACCTACCCGGAAAAGGACAGGCAGGGTGTCACAGTCACGCCGGCCCTGGGGCGACCGGCTGGGACAGGCAGCACTGCATGGCCACAGAAAGAAGGCGGCGGCCCTGGGAGGGAGGACAAGGAGAAAAACCCACTGTCAGCTCATCCCCCTGCCCAAGGGGACTGCCCAGTGTCCCTATCCCTGCTGATGCCACCTCTGTCCCCATGGCAGGGCTAAATAAGTTGCTTTTTTAGGGAGACTGGCAGGAAAGGTGAGTGCTACAAAGGTGGGTAAACCAAATCGCCATCAAGGGTCAATCCTGTGCCTAAAACCTGCAATTTCAGCAAAAGTGAGAGACTTGCACCCAAGAAGTGGGTGCACCCATCACCCCCATCACCCCCCCACCCTCAGTGGATGCTTCATACAACCACATTTCATTATTGGTCCCCACATCCTTCTGTGCCTTGCCCAGAGCAGGGCTAACTGATAGGGCCCAAGTGCCAGGCGGTTGCAGCCAAGATCTAATTACCCACTCGCCACGTGGCCTGAATTGACAGAAGGAGGTGGCAGCTTCCAGACAAGACCTGCCCAACTCTGCCCCAGCCCCTCGCTGCTACATGTGCTTGTGTGCACCGCAGGGAACAACCCCCCACCCCCCCAAATCACCCCCCCTCCTCACTCCGCTGCTGTGATTTGCAGGATCCAGCCTGCTGCAAATTGATTTTCATCTCTTGGAAAGTTCCTGTACAGAGCCAAAAGGTGGGCGTGCATTAGATTTCCTCCTCAAGCCACTCTCAAACACAAAACAAAGGAAAAAAAAAAACAAACCCTGAGAAATCAATAGGTCTATAAGCCAGCTAATATCTCCATCCATCAGGGTACCTGAGAGAGAGCTAATAATAGACCCTGACACACTTGGCTCCTGGGTGCTGTTACCAAACTGCACCCCAAAATGCAAGCAGGGTTAGTGGTGGTGGGGTATGGGCGAGCCTTCAGTGGAGTTACTGCTCCCCCAAGTGCCATCTTTAACAGGGAAAAGCTGATGGCAGTGGCTGGAAAAGGCAAATGTTGACCTTCGATGACCCCCCGAGAGGGACACGCCCTGAGTCAGGCAGTGATGGATGATGCAGGCAGCCATCCATATCTAGAAAACTTCATGGGAGCTGTGATTTGATTTGCATGCAATTAGCCCAAGGTTTGGAGCGAGCAGGCAGCCTCTGAGAATGACCCCGGGTGGGATGGACCAGCCCTGGGGACCCTTCGGTCACTTCCAAGTCTGACTGACGCTGCCACAAGAGCGGCTGGGCTTCCACCTGCCCCATCTCAGGCATTCCTGTTAATGGGGCTGCCGGGATCAGCGTTTCACCAGCCCTGCTCAGGAGCCAGGTTCTTCCTTATTAAAGTAGTGAATGTTAAAAAGAAAAAAAAGCAAAAATTAAAATTAACCAGAAGAGAAGTGCTGCCTTTCCTCATCTCTTTGGAGGTGATGCTTTCAGAGAGGAGGAAGTTTCCTCCCCTCCTGCCCCCCAACCCCTGCTCACCGGCAGCCTAGCAGTTCTTTTTCTAACCACTTTGTGCCTATAAAATATTTTGTGCCTATAAAACAGCCTTCTCTAACACACAACTCTCTTCTGCAGGGATGCAGAAGTAGTTGTAACACCTCGCAGGGAGGAAGCAAGAGTCTCAGGAGTAATTGAGGTCTTGGGAATTATAAGGTAAATATGCCCGGAAAGGGGCAGGACAACTACAGCAGCCTTTTCCAGCCCTTGCACAGGCCACACAACAGCCCCAGCAGCCACATCCCTGCTGCTGGGGATTAGCCCATCTCCATTTTCCATCCACTCCCTGCAAGCCCATCCCAACCTGCCAGGCATTTTGGGCTCCACTGGCTCAGCTCCCCCTGGGCTTGGGCACCGCACGGCCCCACCACCTCATTTTTAGGGGTCTCCTAAAAGCCTTGGGTTGCACTGTGAGCCGAGCTGAGCCTGCGGCTCCTGCTCCTGCAGCAGGGCAGGATGCAGAGGCATGGCGAGAGGATGCACATTTTGCAAAGCCAGACTCCCAGGGGCGTAGTCCCATTTTTCTTTCTGGCTTAAAAAGCCAGTTGAGAGTTGTTTAAATATTTAAATATCCCACGCTGAGCAGATGCCTTGGTGCTCGCCACTCACCTGCCCCTGGGCGGCTCAGGAGAGGGGGCTACAACCCAAGGGCAAGTGTGGGGACCCTCCAGCACAAAACATTGCTGAATAAAATCAAGATTTATACAAGCAGGGCTGCATTACTCTTCCCTGGCTCTTGGGAAGCGATTAGAGATGTTAGGCAGCGGTGTCACTCTGTCCCTGGCAGAGGGAGGGTCCCCGGCCATATCGAACTCCTCTGGGCAGGCGTGCAAAACTGCTTGCTGCAGAGATACATTTTCTTTAATTGATGTTGCCTTGCAGCGCAAAGTTATGGTCTGAAAAGTGACTCTGGGAACGAGTGGCATCTCAGGCTTCTATATTTATTCTCCTTCAATGATGTTCATCACAGATTTGCACAGTTTGCAAGTCGATGGGAGGTTTTTGCCAGCTGCCAGCACTCTCAGCCAGCTGAGAAACTCCTGTCCTTCCTCGCCTGGCACGTCCCACCAGCCCCAAGCTCACCCCCGCATCCAGCAAAGGTCAAACATTAACATGGGAGCAAGTTTTAAGGCTCAGGCAGAGCATGGCTGTTTGCCATGAGCATCATGCTGAACCTCACTGGCCAGTTCTGCCCCAGCCTGGGCTCTGCCTCCCGATTTTACTCTGCAGCTCACGGGCTAATTCAATGAAATGTCTGCCTGGTAAATTAGCCCGGCTGCTGCCTTACCAGAATCATATCCCAGGGCCTAATTGGAAAAAAACAGCATCAGGGGCTGCCTTTTCAAAACAGATTATGGCAGCAAACAACAGGGCAGCTTTCAGGCGGCTGTGGCCTGCCCCACAAGGGCTCAGTTCAGCAGGATTCAGGTGGATTCATCCATGGTTGCAAACCTTGGCGAGGTGGGGAGGATATGAGCAGTGCAGCTCCCCCAGCTGCAGGTCAGGCTGGGCACCTGGGGAAGCTGAGACCCTGCAAACTCATTGCACGTCAGGTGCTGTGAGCTGCAAGGTGTAAGGGGACGAGCCAAGTCATGAGGAAGCAGAAATGAGGAGACCCCCTCCCCAAATGAGCTGAGCCCAAATGAAAGTCCAAAGAGCGATGGCAACGTGCGATGCAGGAGGATGCGGGGGGCTGCACCCAGCCAACAGCCCCCAGCAGCCCCTCTCCAGCCCCAGCACTTGCCCCCCGGCTTCTTGCCCAGGTCCCAAACCACTGGGTCACTTTGAAGCTTTTAAACTCTTAATTAAGAGATCCACCGGGGTAACCAGGGAGCTGAACTTACTGCCCACACTAGGCTCTCTGAACACTGATTTTTGGAGGGGTTACAAATTGCTGCTTTGATTTACCCTTGCACATAAGCTTGTTTAAGCCCCATCACTTCGGGGGGGGGGG